TTACCACCTCTTTTCTTCCCTTCTGCTGCTGCTTTTTAAAACTCTCCTCATCCTCGCGTTCCCACCACCTCCCTTGCTCTCCCGTGCCATTTGATGCCTCACCCTCGTGGTGTCTGTTCCCAACTGGACCCCAGATCTCCTGGGCTCCTCCAGACAGACGTGGAGCTCCTGGAGTGGGTCCAGGGCAGGCAACCAGAAGGACTGGGGGACTGGAGCATCCTCCTCACTAGGGAAAGCTGAGCGAGGTGGGTCTGCTCAGCCTCGGGAAGAGATGGGTGAGAGGGGCTGTGCGTACAAATCCACGTGTACAAATGTCCAAAAAGGGCGTCAGAGCATGGACCAGGCTCTGCCTGGTGGTGCCCAGCAATGCCACATGAGGCAAGGGCAGAAAATTATGCCCTGGAAGTTCCATCTGAACAGGAGGCTCTGCCAGAGCTGCAGGAGCGTTTGGACAGCACTGCCAGGGATGCAGGGGGTGGGATTGCTGGGGTGTCTGTGCAGGGGTGGGGTGGGACTGTGTGATCCTGTGCGTCCCTTCAGCTCAGGGGACTCTGATTCTATGATGAAGAACTTTTTCAAGAGCACTGAGCACATTTCCCAGACAGAGTGTGGAGCGCAGCTCGCTGGTCCCATCCCAGCAGTGTCTGTACGATCCCGCGTCCCGGGCCCTGGAATGACCCCAAGGCGGGACAGGATCACCGCTGTGGCCCCTTCCACCCTGTGACCCACCTCCAAAGCCCTCTGTCCCTTCCACGGGATGACACCTTCCCTCCAGCTCCCCAGGGTAGGGCCCGGCCCCCCCGGCCGTACCTGCGAGGCAGGCAGCGGCGTCCATCCACTGCAGCAGCGGCCCCGCGGCCAGCTCCCCGCGGGGCCCGGCGTGGGCCGGCAGCACGGCCCGGCACATGTACACAGCCATGGGGGAACGCTGCCCGCTCCGCCCGGCACCGCGGCCAGCGCCTCCGCCTCAGCCATGGGCGGGACCGGCGCCGCGCCACGGGGCGGCCTCCCGCGGAGGCGGGACGGGCTGAGGGGAAAGGGAGCCCGGAGTGAGGGGAAAAGGAGCCCGGAGTGAAGGGAAAAGGAGCCCGGGCTGAGGGGAAAGAGAGCCCGGGCTGAGGGGACAGAGAGCCCGGGGTGAGGGGATGAAGGGAAAGAAAGCCTGGGCTGAGGGGATGAGGGGAAAGGGAACTCGGGATGAGCAAAAAGAGAGCTTGAGGTGAGGGGATGAGAAGAAGGGGAGCCCAGAGTGAGGGCATGAAGGGAAAGGAAGCCCGAGCTGAGGGGAAAAGGAGCCCGGGCTCAGTAGAAAGAGAGCCCGGGCTGACGGGATGAAGGAAAGGAAAGCCCGGGGTGAGGAGAAGGAAACTGAGGGGATGAGGGGAAAGGGAACCCGGACTGTGAGAGGATGAAGGGAAAGAGAGTCCAGGCTGAGGGGATGAGGGAAACAGGGAGCCCGGGCTGAGGGGAAAGAAAGTCCGGGCTGAGGGGATGTGAGGGGACAGAGAGCCCAGAGGGAGGGGAAAGAGAGCCCGGGCTGAGGGGAAGGAAACTGAGGAAATGAGGGGAAAGGGAACCCGGACTGTGAGAGGATGAAGGGAAAGAGAGTCCAGGCTGAGGGGATGCGGGAAAAAGGGACACCGGGCTGAGGGGAAAGAAAGTCCGGGGTGAGGGGAAGGAAACTGAGGAAATGAGGGGAAAGGGAGCCCGGGGAAAGGGGTAACAGAGCCTGGGATGGGATGAAAGAGCCCGGGGAGAAGGGTAAGGGGTGGTCGGGATGAGGGAAAAGGGGTGCTCGATATGAGGGGAAAAGGAGCCCGGGGTGAGGGATAAAGGGGTACCTGGGATGAAGGAAAGAGTGGGATGGGGCTGAGGGGAAAGGGCGTGTGAGGATGTGGGGCCGGGGGTGAGGTGCTGAGGGGAAGAGAAGTGTCTGGAGCTGAGGAGATAGAGGCAGCAGGGATGAGGGAAAAGGGATGAGAGTAAGGGAGTGTTGGAGATGAGAGGGTGGGGTGCCCCTGCTGAGGGGAATCATGGAGTGGTTTGGGCTGGAAGGGACCCTAAATCCCACCCAGTGCAACCCCAGCCATGGCAGGGACACCTTCCCCTGTGCCAGGCTGCTCCAGCCCCAGTGTCCAGCCTGGCCTTGGGCACTGCCAGGGATCCAGGGGCAGCCCCAGCTGCTCTGGGCACCCTGTGCCAGCCCTGCCCACCCTGCCAGGGAACAATTCCCATTGCCAAGATCCCATCTCCACCTACTATCTCAGTTTGAAGCCATTCTCGTTGTTCTGCCACTGTCTACCCTGGTACAAAGTCTCTCTTTAGACCCTTTAGGTACTGGAGGGTCCTCTCAGGTCTCCCCACAGCCTTCATCTCTCCCTGCTGAGCAGTTCCAGTGAAAATGGTTGTGTACAGGACACCAGGGACTGGATGTTCCCTCCACTCCTGAGATCACCTCACAGCTTGGCACCAGCCACTCCTAGGTTTGGTGTGTCCCACTGTCACTGAAATGCCTCAAATCTAGCTGGTATTGTCATTTTTATTTCTCTTTGGGAGCCTTGCCCTCTCATCACCAACGTGACATCCCAGCAGGTGCACCCAGGGCAGACACATTCCCATGCCAGAGGCAGGGGAAGCACTGGCACTTCCAGCACGGATGTTTGGATTCCCACCTCTGTGGCCACGTATTCCTGCAGGAGTCAACAGCTCGAGAGCCCACAGAGAGCTCCTTCTCTTATCTCCTCCTCCTCCTCACACGGCAGGTAAGGATATTGCTGCCCGTGAAAACACAGGCTCTGCTGAGGAAGAGCAGAGCAATCGCTTCGGAGCTGTCAGGAGGGTCACGGTTTTACTTTTGCCATGGATACAGTGTTATTGCTGCTGAAGGCTCGGCCTCTGGGGATGCTCAGTGCCTGGGCTGGTCAGCCCTTGGTGAGGCAGAGCTTCTACTGCAATGTAGCAGAGGGTATAAACTGTAAATGGTTTTCAGGAAAGACTGCCAGGCTTGTATTTGGCCATTGTGTGTGTGGTTTCAACGCAGCAGCAATACTTTTCTGTAGCTCCTCCTTACAACCTTTCCTCTTGGTAGTTACTGTTCCAGAGAGGGCTTCTCATGTTTCTCAGAAACATGCATGAGTTTACATCGTGAACACTTGTTCATTTAAACATTGTTAAAGATCCAGCTTTAACCTATAACAGCCAGGAAAATTTGAATTTTAACCGAGTTTCTCAGTGCAGTAGGGGCTCTCTTCCCACACGGTCTGTTGCTGTCACTGCACTGCTGTAGCACTATCTCTGTTTCTGTGCACACACTCTTTTTATCAAGCAACACCATGGCTGTATCACCTCACTTGTTACATTTCAGAAGGTACTGGCTCTGAAAATCAGCATGTTGTGCTGTTCCCTACATTTATTTTCATTCTGTTGCATAAAAAAAATAATTATATATATGTATATGAATACTCTCCTTCTCTGGCTTCTGTGAAGGGAAAACCCAGACTGCCACAGCAGTGAGACACCTTGGCCTTGCTCTCTGAAGGGAGTCTATAAAAGGTTTGCACCAAGTGTTTTCCCCATCCTCAACTGCTCAATCCAGATGACAAAACCTCAGATTATCAGTTTCTCACACTGTGGATCCTAGATACCAGAAGAAATGGTCATTTCAACCTTTTCCTATTACAAAAAACTGTGGATCCTAGATACCAGAAGAAATGGTCTGTAAAGAGAAGTCAACCTTTTCCTATTACAAAAACCCCTTACTTTATATTTTGCTTGCCTAGGCCAGTAATGTGTGAATTTGTTTTCAGGTTTACCTTGTCACGCTGGGGCATTCTCTAAGATAATGCTGTTTGTTGTTCTGCTAAACACAGTCCCAGTGATCAGGTGCCTGGCCTGGTATAGATCTCTTGTTTGCAGTAAGATGAGGAGCTACAGAGCTGCTGGAATCACAGGGGGGAAAAGTGAAATCGAAATCTGCTCACACGGAAAGCCTGCAGCGTGGGGGTGAGGGGAAAGAGGAGCAGCTGGAGCAAGAAAAGCTGCTGCTCCAAAGTCACACCTCTGATGTGCACGTAGCTCTTGGCCTTGGATTCATCCAGGAGGTGTCCTTTGGGGAGCAGGGACACAAATCAGCACTGCCCATGGCAGACACACCTGGCAGTGCAGCCAGGGAACTCACTCTAAAATGAGCTTTCCCAAACGATTGATTCTCTGCTTTCACAAGCTGCATTTACTCTGCCCTCCAGCTACAGGAGATAGGAGCTAAAGGAGAGTAATGGAGTGCAAAGGAACCACTGAAACTGGCTGCTGTAGCTCCTTACAGTCTCCATTGCGCTAAAGCAGTGTTTTACAGCTCAGGTAATATCTGCCAGGTCAGTACTGTTCTCCTTTCACTGCTGGAAAAGAGAAGTTAAGCTGCTGGCAGCAGTGTGGTGGTTTCGGTTTGAAACACTAATTTTGTGCAGTGGTTTTGCTTTGTTAAATTGAGATTTCCTGGCTGATGTACTAAAGAGTGTGGTGGGTTCGGTGTTGGTTAATTATTAGTGTAGTTCACTAATAATGGTTTCCCACTTGAGAAGTACTTTTTATGCACAGCTACAGCAGCACCTGTGCCATCACCGAGGTACTGGACCTAAAGCAGCCTTTGTGGAAGCACCTTTTGTGCATTTTAATCTATTATTAACTAATAAATGACAAGCTCAGTCTTAGATGTGAATAAATCTGTAAAGTGAAGTCATTAAAGCTAGCAAGAAGTGTTCCAAAATGCATAGTTTTGGGAATGTTTTAGATACAGATGTCAGCTACTGCAGTAAATCAGCTGCAGTATAGAGCTGTGCATTTCTGTAGGTAGCACACTTCTGTGCTCCAGAAACAAATGTATTACTGCTGGAAGTCATTAATGTTTTCTGTCTGTTTTTTTCATAACCCTGATTATTTATGGAAAAACGGTGTTTGGCTGCAGGGTTTTTTTGGGACACAGCTTGTGAAAATACAACTACTTCTTGTAAAATGAAACTTTATTCTAAAATGTATCCAAAATTGCAAGACACAAGCACCATTAAACAGATAAATAGACATATATTTATATACAGAGAGCATCAAAACACAAAACAATTGTTAATATAATTCTTATACCATTTTAATGAGTATCCATCAATAAAACTTTACAATTTAAAGGAGACTTTTCAGTTGCAAAACAGTTGTAAAATCATATGTATAAATTATGTTTACTACAATTCCAATAACAGAGGCAAAGTAAAATACAAAAATAATAATCAATACTGCAAATTCAAATACAAACCCCAAAAGTAATGCTGCACAGGTACGTATGTACACTGGATGAATTCATGCAGCCAGGCAGTGCAACAAATTAACTGCTGAGTTTAACTTATCACAAAATGGAACCACCATGTTGAAAAACAGAAGAAAATATACTTTTGTAATAAATCATAGTGCATTTTGAAGTTAGACTTTATAAAATGATTGTTGAGTGATATACTTCTAATATTCCCCATGTGATCTGAGATCCCCCCAACTCCTTTTTTCACAAAATAAAATACAAATGACAAAAGCTAAAAACCCCACTGTAGAACAGAGTCTGATGTACTGGTACCATCTTGAAAGCATTTGTTTTAAATCTCGGTATCAGACTTGTTTGCAAGTGTCCATGTCCACAGGGACAGGAGTTTTTCCTTGCTACCAGAAGTAAATCTTTCACGCTCCAATGCTATCTCCACAAACTGCATCTCACACGATGCTTAGGCTGCACTGGCTTGAAGAGACACAGCTGAGCCTTGAAAAAAGAACCCTTAAATCCCTATGAAGCACAGAGAGAGTAAATGGAGGATAGAGAGACCTCATTATTCCTGAAGCTCCTATCCCTAATTGCTTTAATTACATAAACAGAGATTAACATAAGAGGCTTTTATGGCTTGGGTGAAATTTCTGCTAATTTGCTGGGCAAGTGCAAAGCCCCTGTCTCTCCACAGGGCTTTGCCTTTCACAGTGCAGAGGGCTACAGACTCTTTTGGTTGGTGAAAGGAAGCCTCAGGTAACTATATAGAAAAATACCTCTGCAGTGAAAATGTGGTAAAGAAGCAAAAATTCAAAACAGAACCTCTGGAAAACTGTGACTTCTTGTGTAACAAAAACATGGCTGTCACCTTTCAGGTCTGTGTTGGTTGGTATAGCATGAATATGTAGATAAAACTGGTTAAGTGTCGAAATTATATGAGATACAATTACACAGTCTGACACTTTTTTCCTTAAAATCTTAAGTGATAAGCACGCTCAGTGTTTTCTCTAGGAAATTACTGCTAAAATGCTACATTTCGTTGCTGAAAAGACATTTATAGCAGCCTGTAAACTACTGAGGAGTTGCTTCCTGCATCCTTTGTGCTTCCAAAACCCCCCTTTGAGCCATCACTAACTTCTGAGTTAATGGGGGTTTTGAGCAAAAAAGGGATGCGGAAGACCACCTGTATTGGGTAAATAATGTAGCAATTTATACAGCAGCTCTTCAGATCTTCCAACATGCAAGCACGTGTAGAGAGAAGCTAAGAGACAGCATGCACTGCAGTGTCATGTCATTGTGCTTATGTCTGCTGAGGGCACTATGGCATTTTCACTCAGAGAAACAGAAATGTTAGCCCCAGAAGACTAAAAGAGCCAATATTGATGAAGCCATCAGCTACTGCTGCAGTAAAGAACACCCCAAAAGAGGGAGGAAGTTTGTCTGCTCGTAGCGTTTACATACTGAAGCTGAAGAGAATTACAAAGGCACAATACAAGCCTATATTTCTGGTAAATTATATATATTCATAAATTTCTGCTCATACCACCTCAAGATAGTGAATGGTACAATAACAACTGAAGATACAAATGTTAATTTGAAGTGAAGCTCTACAAATAAAGGACTGTTGGAGAACATAGCTCATTGCTTGCTACATTTCTACTCTTTCCCAGGTGGTGAGCTCATCCACCTTTCCTCCACTGGCTGACAGCAACACGGTGACCCAGTGAGAAAACTGGAACACCCTCAGATGACAGACAGAATGGCTTTATGCATCTGAAAAGGTGTCAGTGAGTGCCACAACAATCTTTGCCACTGCTTTACCTTTGGCTCAGAATTCACAGAGAAACCAGGAACAGCAACTGGAATTTCATACCCATTTTCATGCAGAGCTGAGGCTGAGATAATCCATGAAAGTAGCATTTTGGTTACCTTCAGCACTCAAAAATATTGAACAGCAGAGCAGGAATTGTACCAGCTCATCTTAAGAAACAAATCTCAATTTCTCTACTCACAGCTACACAAGATCTGTATCATTTCCAACAGCAAATGACTCACAACTTAGGAAATAAAGAGAATGGATCAATACTGCTGCTGTTAAACTGAAAAAGTGACACCCACTTTTGTGTGATGAAATTACAGGGCAGCTGTGGAGGCGCCTGCTGTCCCAGCCCAGCTCTGAGAATGTGGAAGCTCGATGAAGGTGAAAGGTGCAGCTACAGCATTTGAGTTTGGACCTGGAGCTGTTCCTCAGCTCGCCACAACAACTAGCACGACTGCTGCCAGGATTTCGTACCGCAGGTAACGGGGAAGGTGTCCAGGGGAATGAGGAGGAACCTGCTGGAAGCAGGCTCTGCTAACCCACAGTAACGCTGCCTGCAGATCTGCTCTTTCTGACATGGGGTATTCCCTTATCTCCAAACCAAAACACCGAATCCCAACACGTTTTATCGCATGTTTCCCCAAAAAAACCTATCGTAAACTGCCATTACTACATGTGTTCTCACAATCCTCAACCATAACCTCCTAGATCTATTCCTTGAACCTGTCAGGAAAGGAATCTTTAGCCACAACTGGAAAGTATGAGCATTAATACCTTAGTTACAAGCTCATAGCTGAATTTAGTCCCTTATCTCCAAACCAAAACACCGAATCCCAACACGTTTTATCGCATGTTTCCCCAAAAAAACCTATCGTAAACTGCCATTACTACATGTGTTCTCACAATCCTCAACCATAACCTCCTAGATCTATTCCTTGAACCTGTCAGGAAAGGAATCTTTAGCCACAACTGGAAAGTATGAGCATTAATACCTTAGTTACAAGCTCATAAATTCATAGCTCATAGTTACAAGCTCATAAATTCATAGCTGAATTTAAAAGCTGCATATGCTATTGCTGGTGTTGATTGATCTATACAATGGTTTTTCCCTGTGTTGCTTCCAAAGAAGATCAGTGCAGGTAACAAGGAAGCCCACTCTAACAAGGAAGCCCACTCTAAGAAATGAAGGTGAGGTTTCCTAGGCAGGGATCATCACTCTAGAATTGTTCCAACAATTTGCAAGTTCAAGCTACAGCTGTTGATTACAATCAAAGTAAAAATACAGAAAACAGCACTACAGGGCAGAAATATCATGCTTGAGATTGAATTCAGAAAAGTCATCTGTAAGACACTTGGATTCAGGTTCAAAGGAGCTGCATTATTCTTGCCCATTCCAAGCTCAAACAAATACACGTTTGTGTAGAGGTGTGAGAAGCCAATTGTACACACTTGGATTCATCCCACCTAATTCCAGCTGTTCATCAGTGGTGAGGGCAAATGATGCCATAATGCAATCTCTCCACTCGTGTCCCTCCTCTGACTTACACACAAGACCCAGCAGGTAATTTTTAGCCAGCTGAAATTAGGGCAGGATGAATCAGGCCACAGCATGGAGCGGAAACAAGTCTGATGTGGTGGCACAGTATCACCATGACAATCCAGTCTGTCACAGCCCTGTCTGAGGCTCCCAGCCAGACACGCTCTGGGTCAGTGACCCACACCACCTGCGCCTTTGCAGCTCTGGCAAGGAGCTCATCACACGTCACACAGTGAGGCTTGAGTTCATGACAATCCCCCAGAGCAGCACCCGGAGCCGCCTGGGATGGGCCAGCCAGACAGCTTGGGTGCACGGGACTGCAGCCCTCCCAGACACCCCAGAGGCTGCCCTGGAGCTGCACACAGGGTCTGGAGGGGCTTGCAGCCGGAGTGGTTACTCATCCTAACACAACACGCACTCATGTCCACGTATCCGTGGTGCTGTGGGAGCTGTGCATCCCCACGCCTTGGCCACGGCATGGGCTGGCTCTTGGCAGGAGCTGTCGGAAATGAGGATGAAGCACACACTGAGGAGAAATACAGCGTTCTGAAACACACATTTGTGAGATCCCCAATAGTATCAATAGTAACGATTAAGGTCAGAGGCAGTATCAAGTTTTGCATGCACTTTCTACATTAGTATTTATATAGACAAGTTTCATTCTTGCTGGTTTGCAAAATTACTGAGGTTTCCTTTACTTCCAGAGACTGGAATATTGAACAATAGTTTCATTTATGATGTTGAAAGTCATTCTTTGTCTAAAATACACCTACAAATACTTGGGATTATGGGACAGGGATTGCCCTGTTGTTCTCTGTAAAGGGCTAAAGTAACTGTAGAAATATTTTTTGATCTTAGAAATACAGGGAATTTATCTACAAATCGGACTGTAAGCATGAGGAACACTTATTGCAAGTTCTCAAAGTCTTACATGAAAGGGTGAAGGTGCAAAGTCATTAAGACTGCCTTGATTCTAAAGATTAGCCTACTCATTTAATTGAACTATCAATAGAAACACAGAAGTTAAAGTAATCCAAGTAAGAATCCCCTTCAACTTTCCAAGCTTCTTCGCTTCTCCCATCATTGCCTTTCAGACTAGACAGGACTTGAAATTCTGATGTCAGAAACCAGCAAAGAACACACAGACATTTTCAGGTCTTTGTTGTATATCGTAAAATACTGTAAAAAAAGAATGCAGAGTCCCAGAATTCAGGTTATTTTCCTCTCTTGGTAACCAGACAGAGAGGTCAAATCTCCTTTAAACACCACCTCAGGTACAGCCTGCAGTGGGTGGGGATGAGGACACAAGGCAGGCAGTGCTGTGCCTCTCGAATGGCCCTAGAGATGGGCTTCTGTCTTGGCACTGCTGCAGCTTGTGGGGAATAAAAAACACATCTTTGTGAGGAGCAGCCTGCCCAGGTGCTGTGCCTGGGGCACCCCTCTGCAGGGGACACTGCACAGCTGTGACACCTCTCAGGTGTGCAGGCACAGGCACCTGGGACGCCACAAAACCTGCAGCTGCCTGCTGCAATCCAACCCCAAGCTCTCAGAGAAGGATATGAACTGGGTTGAATTCTTGTACATTACATTTAATAGTTCTGTAAATGGCTTATAGATCTGCTGTTTGAAATAAATTCTGAAACCACTAAGCGTGCTTAACAGAGCTTCAACTCGATGTGGACAGCGAGTTCAGAGGACAGAACAAGGACTGGTGCAGTATAATATATACATGGCTGTACAGTCAAATGCCACCTCCTGCTTCAAAACAAGAATTTACAGTAGAAAGCAGTGGTGGCAAGATTTCTTACACAGAACCTACAGGAATTTACAGGATATGCATGGATCACTGAGGTTATAACACCAGCAATAGACAACACAGAGTATCTTGTGCAATGTGAACAAAGTTGACAGTAGTTTACCAATGCTGTAAGTAATTCACATAAATATGCAACCCACGAGCTAACAAAACTTCCTCCTCTTTCCACCAGAACCAGATGCGTGTGCAGCAATCCATAAAAACAAAAGTGGTTTGTTTTTGTGGTTTTAGCCAAACATGCACAAAGTAGATGCACTCCAAGGGGATACTTGCAAAAAAAAACAAAACAAAAAAACCCTCAAAACTGGTGTCCAAGCACACACAGCAATTGGATTCACACTTCTCAAACAGCCATGACAGAGCCAAAGTTTATGGTGTGGATGCTTGTTGTCCTGGAAAAATAGTAATATAAAAATTCACTTGATTTATAACTGACAGAAAACTCCAGCTTTACTCACACCACTCTTCCATGTCTCTAATTCTAGCCCAAATTCATTCCAGCCCTACTTTGGGAACTTGTGTTCTCTTCTTTATCCATCAATGTAAATGCAAATCAAATCACAACTACAACATAACCAGAAAAAAACCAAACCATAAAAATGAATTTGAAAATAGCTTATACCTGCTTTTGGATGTTATGTTTATTGACAACAATTTAGTAACACCACTTTGCTTTCCCACTAAACCACTGGATGTGCTCTGTACCTCTGTTACAGAGAGCTTTAATAAATTTCTACCTCAATTAAATATATCCCGTATTTGGGATTTTATTTTCATCCAATCTGCAAGACAAAAACCAGCTTTTCTTTCAAGTTATTTTGTATCATTGTTAGGAACCATCTAATTTTGAGTTAGTGGCATGCTAGCTGTCCTGATCTTGAGCAGTGACAGCTCTCAGGATGCTGCACTGCCACTCCTTATCTGGAGTTACACTCAATTCCTCTCTATTAATGAAATAAACTCTTGACAGCAGGGCTCTAGTTGCAGTTATGAACACTTCCTGCATGCTTGTTGGGCAAAATGCTCTAATTTTTGTGCAAAGATCTGGCACAGTACATTTACTGGGGAAGCCCAAGTGAGAGGGGGTAAAACATGAAGATTAAAACAACAGAAGTGAAGCCTAAAATATCCAGTTCATCCAGTTGACAATGTGACTCCTCATGGATCAGAGCAGTTGTTCCACAACAATACTTCTTCCCATCAAAAGCAATTACTGAAGATTTCAGTATCTGTAATAGCCCAAACTCCTAGACTGTACAGTCTCACCCAGGCTATTGAGAACACATCACCTTTCAAAATCCCCATGTTTTGTGCTGTTTCCCTATGAAAACTGACGCTAAATTGCCAGAATTGTCTCTTAGCAAAATCCAGCCGCTTGTCAGCATTGCAAAATCTTGAAGGGATCCCCAGAAGCTAACGGCAAGAGAGTTGTGCAAGTTCTCAAGAGAACAGCGAGGTAGGAACGAACACCTTGTTTCTGGTGGATATTTGCCCACTCCGGAGCCACCTGACCCTGGGAACAAGCCTGCTCGACCACTTGGTCCCTGTTCTGAGACCACAGAACCCTGAATCCTCCACGAGACACACGGAAAGCACTGACCAGGCAAACTGAACCGCTGTTTGTGAATTAGGCTTGGTACAAGGTCACACAATTCACATGTCAAGCAGTACACTTTTGGGGACGGGGAAGGAGCTTTCAGCATGAAGTCCAGATTTATTATTTATAGCAACTAGGCAGCAAATCTCTTTTTTATCTGATCTCCCCAAAACCATGTCTTTCAGCAAATGTTTACAATGCTGAAGTAAAATAAAGGAAAAAAGGATGATTTCTTTTTTTTGTCTCTCCATTTCTTTTGCACACAAAACTGAAGTAGTGGCTAGAAAGTGACCACTTCAAATTATAACTGAAAACTGCATTTATTAAATTTGAAAACATGTACCCAAGAAAACCTTTATACATTTTTTATGGCAAGTTTTCCTATTACATGAGAGGCTTTCTTACACATTTTAAGCTTAAATGAAGAACAGCAACCAAACAGAAGTTTGGAGTAAAACTGCAAAGCTGTTGGCTGTGTTGAGGGAAACTATGGCTGCACAACTGAAAACAAGATGAAAGAACAAATTCACAGAAATAGTTCGTGTACTAGTGAACAAAGCTCTAATAAAGTAAGAAACAGAAGAAAGCCAAATCTGCTCTGCATGTCAGTATTATTGATACATAATCATGGATCTGCACTGGTAAAGTCTGTAAAATAATGTCTGCTTAGGAAATACTTAATTTGAGCTCTAGACTGTCCATGTTCAAGTATGGGTTTTAATTATTACAGTTCTACTTTTTTAATTTCCTGAAGGATACTATCTGTACTTAGATCTGCTTAAAATTAACTATGTGCAGGCTCAATTTGAAATCAAGGTGAAGCTGTTGGCAGAACAAGATTTTTCATGTGCTGAGTAAATGATCCTTTTTTTCTCTTTTCTAGATTTGGTACTGCAATTTGTTTCCAATACGTAGACACTATACATGAGTGCACTCAAAGCAGTATTTTAATCTCTCTCTTCTCATTTTTCAGGTTGAAACATCACTTTGGTAATTTCAACAGACCCTCTGTATTTTTCTCTATGTACTCAGTTTCCACATCTGCCAAATAATATTACACCACAGGTAAGTTATATTTTTGACCCAGACTAGGGTGAAATCCTATCATCCTACCCAAAAAATGACCTTATGTGAATGGTTTCATCAAAGTTTCAGCAGGACTGGCATAAGCAGCAGTTTACAGAACTGTGCCAATATCTGAACATTAGAGAGAGCTGCATACAACAAAATTTAAACCTAACTAATTTCTTTCTGAATTCCTAGAGTTGTTTTGAATCACTAAATCAGAATTGGATCCTCAATGTGAGATAAGAGTGCTGAGGGGGGGTTTATTTGAAAGATGTGATTTGTCAGGATTCCCATCCTTAAGGCCTGAGCAAACCCAAGTGTGTCTGTGACAGCACCCACAGTTATATCACCACTTCATGTGAAGTAAAGAAAAATAAATTTACCTGTACTTTATGTCATTAAGGTATATTTTACATTCTTGAAATGCCAATGAGTAGAGTCAAATAGTGAAGAATCCAGTCCATACTTAGCCATGACAACAGCAATGGATCAGAGCTGACCATGAACAGGGGAAAACTCTTAATAATTAACTGATACAGAAATAGGATCCTGTGTAACGTGTATCAGCTGAAAAATCATTTTGAATAAAGTGATCAGCACTAAATATTGTAATAGCTGATCCTTCATTAAATCTAATTCCAAATCATTGGCACATGAAGTATTGCCACAGAACACAGGAAAATTCAATTGGTTTTCGGCAGTTCAAGAACCTGTCCTTTGATGCATCCTTAAAGAAGCAAGCTTCTATTCACTTCTTTCCAAGTGGAATTATTTAAAATAAATGATTAGCCTACATATTTGTCTTTGGGTATTCCTGTTGGAAGGGAAAGGAACAGCTGGATGTCTGGGACATGGAACATGTAATCCTACACTATGGGGAACAGGCTGGAAGCCTGAAAGTCATTATTGTTTCTGAGTATGTGACATGTTGGGTGGGCAGGGCTCAGCAACCACAGGGCTTCCAAATAAAAAAATGGAATTTCTGGAGGTTGGAAGTGCAAATTCCAAACTGCAGGTTTTCTTCATTCCCAGATAGTTAAGAAAGTAATGTAATCCCTACATACAACTATCCAGGTAATTTGTTAATGCACGCCAGGCACATGCTTTACCTGTGATTCAGACAGCTTCTTCCTTGCCTCAAACTACTCCACTCTTAGACATGGCAATAAAATCTGGATGACATGGAGATACATCTGGATCTGAGCACTCCTTTCCATAGGGTTCAGCAGCAGGTAAGACCCTGGTTTCACTGTGAAGGTCACAAGTGAATCCAGTTTCAGCTGATTTTCTACAAAGCTGAAATATTAGCAAGAGTTCTCACAGCATAACAGAATCCCTTACTCTCCATTTCTGCTACTCTAAGATGTAATCAGTTCTGCTTTTAGAAAGCCTTACTTCAACTTTGCCTGAAATACCCATTTACAGAATCACCTTCTATTTACTTCTATACTAAAGAGCAAGATCTATCTAAAAACCCAGTGTGAGAAGATCTACCCTGCACCACTTAAAATAGAAATCCTACCAGAGCTGGACAAGTTCTGACATTATCATCAGTGCTGTTGCATAAGGACAGAACCAAACAGCAGTTACATTGCTCCTGGTATCTGGAGCATAAAAAATGTAACTGGGAGCAGAAACTGAGTGCTTGGGAATAGTCTTCCCACATTGATACTCCAGATACCATGAAAATCCTACAAGGATTTGTGAGCAAAGGAAAGAGAAATGAACAAGCAAAAAGCACTGTGCATATTAAGAAAAAGACAATCCAAAGGTGTATTTTAGAATTTGAGTAATTAGTACAACAGATTGTTTTCTAATGGTTCAGCTGCAGCACCAGGGCTCTCCAGAAGCCTGGGTAAAGCCTCAGACAAAGCACCAGTGACAGCAGCTGCAGCCTGTGGGGCTGCGTGGGTGTCAGAAATGCAGGACACAGTCAATCAATTATGTGCTGAAAGGACATTTTGCTCCTGTATAAAAGTGAGGATAACCTGCTTTAATATTGATATCCAATCTGTGTCAGCAGTCCCATGCACAGGTTTAAAGGTCAGACTTCCATCCTTCCAAGGTGCCCAACAGCTCACTGACCTGGGAATGGGCTTTGGCACTTGAAGCACTGCTCCCATCTACCTCAGTCCACCAGCAGTGGCACCATCTGACTGGAACTGGGGCAGAAAGAGCCCTAGGGTCCCTGGAAGGTCCCACAGGTAATGCCAGGACACCTGGACTCTGGGTGTAATGGGGACACACCAGTGGTGTTAGTGACAACAGCAAAGGGTCTGAAGAAATTACACCTGATTTTGTGTTTGTGACTCAGCCAATAGCAGGGTATTCCAGAATCTTTGGAGACAGCAACACAGTGTTTTCCAAAGAGAAGCAAATTAATGTGACCTTCATAATCAATAGGAATACAGTCTACAAAACCATAGAATGACTATCTAGGCCATGTTTACATCTAATCAAGTGGTTCTTACTAAAAAGTAAAGCTACCAAAATCTTTGATACTTCAACATAATTTCAATCCTCTGAGACTTTAATCTTTGAATAGCCCTAACAGGAGAGTAACATGTTAAATCTTTTTATTTCCATACATCATACATGCATAATCTATGGAAATAAAAAGTAGTTTGGAGATTGTAGTATTCCTTACACATCCAGCTACCATCACAAGCCCATCACATATGGGTGATATTCCTTTACCACAAGCTCATGAAAGAGAATCCCCTTGCACATGGATATACCACATCCCAGAGCTGCTCCTCCTCGGAAAGGCTTTTCTGGATTAAAGTCCAAGGAGAGGAATTTGCTGTTTGTGTGTGGCACCAATTTCTGCTGAGCCACTTTGTGCCTGCACTGCTGATCATCAGCCTTTGTATCACAGCACACTGAAAACCTTTGTTTTCCTGGGGCAGCTGAAAATCACCAGGAGCTAAGGAAATGTACCATAATCTTGGTTTCAGAGCTCTGCCTGAAGAGAAATGGGAATGCTTCCAGAAGTGTTTCCTTTAGGCCTTTTTCTGCACTCTGGCCCCAGCTTTTATACCTAACTCTATGTCCTCCTCATAAAAGGGCCCAGACCTTTGTTCCTCTTTTGGTCATGGCAAAAGGTAACACCCTCACAACAAGGCTAGTAGTCATAAAAAGTTCACTATGGCATTTTGGCTCAAAAATGAAAAACAAGGCTACTGACTGGAAAGTTTTGTGGGAATTAATTCTGGCAGATATGGCAGAAAACACACACCCAAACAGCAGGGTGACCTGATTTTCTAAATGGGCTTGGGAAATACTGTTTATAATTAGGAGCACAGATTGCCCATATATGTTTGAGAATCACTGAAAATGGGAAACATAATTTTCAGTTGTTGGAAAATGTTTTGGTGATAAGGACTCTACTGTATTTCCACTAACTACTACCCCTACAGAAGACCATGCTAAATAGAAAACTCAATTCCAAGGGCGGGAGAAGCCCTGACACTTTATTGCTAGATTCTATAGCAATTGGAGCTCACTTACAGTAACCTTATAGTACTCTATATAAACTGAGAAGCTTGTATCAAATTCAGGCTTCCATTTAAAATAGATATTGCAGATATTAGGCTTCAATTAAAGAAGAAAAATAACCTTCAGTGCTTTTTTTTTCCTCTTAAAGGCAAAGTATCAAAAAAAATCCCCAAACTAGGTGGAAGTTATTAAATTTCTCCAAAAAATTAAGATGAGCTTTCTTCTATTTCTTGACACAGTACAATTTGTGATTCACAGGGTAGCTGGTATCAAACACAAGGTAATGAAAGCTCGTATAAGCAATTTTATTCCTATCCATAATGGCAGACACTAACAAAATCAAAAGATTTATCCTTTGAGTTCAACTTAAAAAATAACTTATAAAGCAGTGATATATGCAACATAAAACATTTCAGGATGGGAGAGGGAAAGCAAATTTTAATAATTAAAATGTAAACGTGAAAAAAAAAAAAGAAATGGAATAAAAGTCCCTACTTCTGATTTCTACGTAAGATGTCACATGATCCTATGTTACAGTGTCCTGGGGTCTGAGTGTGTGTGTGTGCTTGCGTGTCACACACACACACCCCACGCTGACCCACACATGTACACACACAGACAGGCTGGCAGCTCCACCTCGGGCACTTCCCTCATGCCACTCCTTGCGGTTGTCTCAAGCATGTTTGGGACCCACTGTCTTGACAAAACGGGGGAGATGGTAGGAGAAAAACAAAAAAAAATCAGGTGGGTCTGATTGTGTCTGAGATCCTTTAGTTAAACTGTACACTGGGACGAATAATTTTCTTCTGCAGTAGCTCTCTGGAGAGGGCCAACTCACTGTGGTCTTCACGGCGACACTTGAGAACGGGTCACACACTCATTGTCATGCTAGGGGAGTACTGCAAAAGAGGAATCCACATTTTAACAAACACTCATTCCCCCCACCCACGGGCAGCCACATCCACACCTGGGCTGCGGCAACGGCTCCAGAGCTCCTTCAGCTCCCTCCTGAATTTGTGCTGCAGCTCAGTTTGTGTCCCCAGCATTTCTGCTGTGCTTCTCTCATGCCACAGTACAGCCTCTGCTGACAAAGGCAATGATGAACCAATATCTCACTGCTGGCTACTGGGGAATTTACCTGGGCAGGCCCCTAGTCTGAAGAGGACTGGCTGCATTCATGGCTAGCTGAACCACACAAGATTGTGGGGAGGTTTTGATTACTTCAGGGGAAAAAAGGAACAAAGATATGTATGACTGTGATTCAGTTAGGCTTTTGGTCTGAATTGCTTTTTGTTAGCAATTTTAGGGGGCAAGCTGAATCAGGGACCAGTGGTCATTCTCCTTTATGTGACCCAAAAATGGAATCATCACATCACACGATTGTAGTGACACAAACTGAACTGCAGCCTTTACCCAAGCTACAGCTACCCTCAGGTTAGCAGTGCTCCATTACAATAATCAATGGGACACCACAGGACCTAGAAGAAATGCACAACTATACACCTAATTTGCTTTTAAATTGAAAACTGTGGACTGAAAAAACACTTAATTTGGTCTAACATCCTCTAAGTAGAGGAAAATGTTAAAATGCAAGAGGATCAGCATTTTGAATAATGACAGAAGAGAAAGAAAATATAGATTTGCATGTGCAAAACCACATGTGCTCCACATATCCTGCCAAGTCTTGAGTTCCAAGCTGGCCATTTCCAAGTGTCCAAGCATATAGAAAGAGTATTTCAGATGGGTCTTCCCTGTCATGTAAATTACACAGGTCTGACTACCAGCTCTGAGGCTTAAAGCAAAGCACCTGCTCACGTAAATTCCTGCATCTGAGCCAAGGTATCTGGGGAATCATTTGGGGAGAGGAATGGTCTCAAGTTGTTTAGGATTCTCAACTTGTTTTTAAGCCCTGGATTCTTACTCACCCCTAACCAAAACTCCTGGTGAACTGGACAACAAATCTCCCTGAGAAAGGACTCCATGATAACACCTATTCTGAGCAGCCAGGTGGCAAAACATGGATCAGAAAGCAGAGCAGGATGAGAGAGCAGCCCCTGTTACAGAGGCTGCATCCCTGGGAGCAGACAGGGACAGCCCTGGCATGTGCCACTCCTGCCTTGCAGGCGCACATCTCAACAAGCCTTGAGAAATCCGAGTCCCTGGCTCTTCCAGGCAGCACAGAAACACCCAGAACCCAGGGAGTGTCTGAGAACACTGATTTTCTGCAGAGCACCACTGATGCCCTCTTGTTCCCACGGCCCTGTTGCAGTGACCCTGGCTGCCCTCAGCACAGCAGAGCGTGCCAGACTGGGAGCCAAGGGCTGCCAGGAACAGGGACCACGTTTCATGGAGCCTCTGTGCTCACTGCCATGTTGGCAGATATTAAACATTGCTCTTTTTAGGTTGTGTATGACAGTTTTCTTCAACACTCCGCACAACCTGAATGTGTGCCCACCAACAGCTAACTGGCAGAAATTCTTCCTTTTCACTAGCTGGAAAAGAAAACCTCCCAAAACCCCTCAAAATCAGATTCCCAGGGAATTTTCCCTGGAACTCAACTATGCTGAGATGTAACAGAAGCTGTTTACTGAGCAGCAGGTCACAGTGGCACAGGTAATGAGGTTACACTCCTATTTAGGGACCCAGATGTGGATTTAGAAACCCAGCCTCAGGCATGTGAGTATGACAATACCACAGTCTTGCTCTGTAAAATGTTTACACCACATTTTGCTGCTTTGAGCATTCCATATTTAAACAAAAAATACCCACAGTTTTCCCCAGCATGATCACCAGTGGAACCTCTGCCTTTTATGGGTGCAACAGCACACTGCAACATCTGGAATCCACTGGTGCTCTCATCACATACTTCAGTGTAAATCCTGTTTTTTCATTGACCTTGTGGGCCAGAGAGTTTCTGCAGTAAATCCATGCCTCCCACCTATTCCAGTTTCAGCTCTCTTTTGCACAGCATTTTTTATTGAAATCAATACTGTACTTTCAGAAACTATTAAAAACCATGCAAGGCACAGTGCTGCACTACAAGCACACTACAAAACTTGTAAAGTTTCTTTTTCTAAACAAAAGGCCACAGATGTAGGTTCACCTTTGCAATCCAACAGCCCAGGTAATGAAATACTTACACTCTCACTCTGAAAAGGGTTTAGGAAGTTTCCACCCATCTCACTGTCATCCCTGGGAGTGCCAGGCTGGTTGCTCATGCTCATATTACTGGGAGAGTTCTGTTAAAAAATAATGCAAAATACAGATTCAGTGCTGCAGGTTTCAGTTAATTTCCAGGTGAGCCCAGGGCATGCTCCACACAGAACTTGGTGCACTCAGGTGCACTGGGCCTCTCAAGGATGAGAAATCAGCCCCAGCAGGGGTTTTCATGATTCAGTCACTAATTTTAGTCTGTTAAGTAATGTTCTCTTCCCTGAAGCAAGGACTGTTTACCTGCGCCTCATTTTCAGGCTATAGCCAGCACCTGGTTCTGCTGAAGTCAAGAAAAGCTATAAAAGGCTGCAGCAGGGATGTGAGGAAATTCTGTCGCCACATTAAATCATGTGGGGGAATGCAGCCACGTCTGTGAGCCCTGACATACGTGAGTTATGGGTATGAACTTAAAGACAGACAAAAGATGTGCTTAAAGGCAGGATGGATCAGCTCTGCACAGGCCTGTGCCTGAGGGCTGCTCATCACGGCCACAATTCACTGAAATAGTAACAATCTAAAGCCTTCCACAAATTAATCGTTACTCTTTTCCGTACAGAGGTGCACAGTGACCTCTGCAACTTCAGAGGCAGAATGGGTGAAACAAGGCAATTGCTACAGAAATTATTGTGCACCAACGGCTCACACATGGTATTGCACACACTGCCATCAGTCAGGTGCTCTTACAAAGCTGCTTTGCAGCACCCTGCCATGCCTGGACCATGGGCAATCCCCTTCCCATCACTGCTACAACTCCCACTCAGAAGAGTCACCATGGAAAAAGAGTATTGAGGGAAAGGGAGAGTGAAACCATGGACCTCATAATGAAATCATTCATCCAACAGTTCTTTCCTTGGCTTTTTTGGTTTGAATTCAGAAAAATGTATTGCAATTTGAATATAAATACCAAACTAATTACATACATGACCTGCAAGCAGAAATTCTTCACCAGCACCTGAAATGCAGCTCAGAGTGTTGGGTCAAAATCCCTGCTTTAGCCCTTTTGCTTTCCTCAGACTAATTCACTACTTCCACAACTGTGATCCTGAGGCACTGGACAGCAACTGAAGCCTAACGAGGTTACTGACACCAGCTAATTAAGTCTGCTCTCCAGTGAACCAGCACACAGACATCCAGGGAGCCCAGAGCCTGTGTGACACAGGAGTCAGGCTACACAACCCCAGCACTCCCACTGCCCTCAGCTTCCAGCAATATACAGACCTTGCCACACGTACTTTATATGACGCTCCTGCACTTTTGCTTGTTTCTGGGGGATTTACCCCTATTTTGTGTTGCTCTGTGTAGAACTAAGCTTTGGCATTCTGCCATTGCTGCAGCACGCCAGCTTCAAAGGGCCAAATTCCTGGAAAAATCCCATTTCAGTGACTCCCCCAGGCTGCTTCTGTGGCTGCTTGTAGCAGCACTATAGCACCAACTGGGATTTTCAAAACCAAGGGTGCCCCTGGTGTCTGCACAGATTCCATGGGCATTGCAATAAATGCAGGTTGGTAATGTTTATTTAACATGCATAATTTCAGTTCATTTACTGCCCTCGTCTGAACTTACTTCATAAAATACTTCATGTGCTGCCATTCAGTCAATTTAGCCAAAATCTTCTCTAGAAAGCTATGAATTCTGTGAGCTGTACTAATTCTGCCAGGACTGGATCCATTTTCTTTGGACAACTGTTTTACAGGCAAAATTAACAGCATTTTTCTTTTCAGTATTTCAAAATCACATAGATCAAGCATTACTTCCATGAATTGTTCATGCAGGTCAACATATTATGAGATTTTCAGGTAAATTGTTTAGGACCCAAGTGTTCAGAGCTGCTGATACCTGTACCAGCACATACTGGCCAGCTACAAGTGGAATACTGGCTTTAAAAACAGAAATGTTGTGATTTTTTCCCTTTAAAAATGCTGCAGTTTTCAGTAAGACAGTGAAGAAAAAATATAGACTTTGATTAAAAATATGCTGTATGCTGGTCATCTCACAGGAGGGTTTTATTGAATCCCTCCCTGCACAGCTGAGGCAATGTGGTCTTCCCCTTCCATCACTTTACGTCATGCAGAGTCTGGAAATGTTATAACATTTAGGAACACATTTATGCCCCTTTACCACATCAGCTCATTAATTCCTAAGTTAATGGTGACCACATCCACAGCAGGTTTATTTTTACAGAAGTGACACATTCAAGTATTGTTTTTGTAGATGCAAAATCCCTGCAGATTACACTCACATCCTTTTCCAGTATGTTGTGGTATCAAAACAGTGCTTCTTCTGAAATGACTTCTTGATCTAGTTTTTTGGAAATTTATCCTGAGCATTAAGATATTAACATTACCTTAGAGAGGTGACAAACCCAATCCTGCAACACCCTAAGAAATTCTCCCAAATTTACATTTGACTAGGATTGATTATTAGAACTGGTTTAATTTATTTGAAGAGCACCAAAGATTACAACATGATCAATCAGATTGTGAACTGGAGCTAATTATATATAATATAGGTGCATAGCAAAAAGATTCATAACAGACAAAAAGGAATTGAGTTTAGAGTGAAACACTCTAAAAATTCCAGATCCGTGATTAGATACTCACTTTGGAAATACTGTCCATGTCTCCTGAGCCTGAAATTGAAATACACAAATGCTCAGTTAATTTTGAGCTGAAGCTAATCCAATACTTTTTTTTTTTTCATAGAAAATACATAGTACAAAAATCATCATTTTAAAAAATAACCAACTTAATAAAAGTTTACAGTTGGTATGGAATAATCCACTCAATCAGTCTGAGGCTTCATCAACTGCTATTGCACTACATGTACTGAGTGTCTCTTAGAAGAAAACAGATGATCCTGATGAACAGAGTAATGGAAAGCAAATAAAATTAAATATATTGAGTGCAAGACCACTGAAAACTGAGGGGTTTTTTCACACACTGTAGCTCTCACCTCAGGTAAAGCAGAGAATAAGGGAAATGCAATTTTAGGATGGATGAATGAAGAAAAGGTTTCTTAGCAGCCAAAGACATTTTCAGGAAAGACAAAATCTGGGAGAGTACTGAGTATAAAAGTAGAAGAGATCACAGCAAAACCATCTGAAATGGAGCTGTGGGAGAAGACTGAAACAGCTCCTTCATACAGCCAGGCAAACTAGGCCTGAGAAGAAATATAATTTCTCTCTCCAAAAATGTCAGGTACATAGATGTTATCAGGAGTTATTTTGTCACGGCCCAAAAGGATAAACTATGGGTACATGTAGAATCCTCCCACAACTTTCAATTTAATTTTTCATTTTAGCATAGGAGAAAAAATTCTCAGCCTGTGGAAAGTGATAGAGAAAGGTGTGGCTGCCTCTCACACAGATTTCATTGACTTGAATGCAATGTGCATCATTAGTAGTTAAACCATTTTAGGATTGTAATAGGTAAAGAAAGGCTGCTAAAGTAAGCTATAAAGTAAGCTAACATTTGAGGGACATGTTTACGAAAGAAAAAAGTATTTCTCTTTAGGAGAGAGAGGCCTATGCTGAATTGTTATTGCTCACAACAAAGCTCAATGAGCTTCTATGATTTTTTTTGCATTGCCACAGCCTCTTCAAATCATTCCCTTCATCTCACTGATGTATACAGACCTTTCTCCACACATTTTCACAAACTGTGCTGTTACCTAATGATCCGTTCATGTGGTGTGAGTCCATTCCACCCAGCCCGCTCATGGGCCCGTCTGAGCCCGGCCCCAGTGGGAACTGCAAAAGGAGCAGGCATCAAAAACTGCACAGCTATTTACCACACAACCTAGCAAACAGAAAGTATTCCTCAGGAGAAGGGGGGAAACAGCAAGGACAAATCCTCAGCTCTGAATGAGAAGAGACTCTCAAGTCCCACTCAGACCTCTAAGAGAAGGTGTCTCATGAGGACTGAAACCCAGCATTTTTTGGGGTCAATTTAATGGTTTTTGGAGACTGTCACCTCTGCAGGCTGGAATCCAACACAGTAATAATTTATTATTTACTTCAGTGCTGTTTTTGTATGACTTTTCAGACTGCTGCTGGCAACTCAGCCCTATCCCCAGTGAAGTTACAGGAAACTTTTATAACTCCCTTAAATCCATCAGTGATTAATTAACAGCTTTCAAACCCCACCCAACCTATCCTAATCACCTTCACAACTTGAGCAGTTTCTATCCAATTACATAATTAACCTTAAATTTAGCTCTTCGTGCATTTAAAAGATACTACCATTATAGCCAAAAAATCTGCAATTTACTACATAACGGCTTAGCATATCTAAATATATTTATTTTTAAGTTCTACTGGCAGTTTTTTTTTCCCAGAGGCCCATAACTGAAGATCCACCCATAAAAAAGGAAAGCTTAGCAATAATGACAGCTGCTGGAAACACAGTGTTTGGATTAACAAAAGGCTGCACTACTCAGAGATGTAAGAAAATTCATATTTACATTAGGTCTGTTGGGCCCAGGTGGCACAGCGTTCATTAAAGTGTACATGTTGTCTCCAGAGTTGGTTGAATCTGTAATAAGAGATTACTTTAAGTGCTGAAATACACTTTTCAATAAAATTACTCACCTCATACATTTCCTGTCGTTTTGTTAGTATTATTACTGTTCCTCAATCCCATACACAGTGGCAATATAATGGCAGATTTTATTCTCTTTCTATCCACTGCTGCCACACAACAGGGCTATGAAAAGAAATAATTGCCATGGTCCCCAAGTGACTGCTTCTGGGCTCTAGCTTTATGCATGACTGTTAAAAGGTTTATAAATCACCAAGAATCTGTGACTATTAAATTCCTAAAACCCTGTTTCCTGGAGTTCTAAATTTCTTCACTCATCTTCAATGTTATCCACAGAACAGGAGTTTTTTTCCTATCAATAATTTGTTTTCTGTCTGTAATAAAAGATAAAAAGCTTCTCCTTACACAGACTGGGAGTTACAATTTTTCACTCTCATCCCTGTCAAGTCCATATGATTTTGAACATATCCAAGTCTTCAGAGGACTGCAAAGATCCTTCCCTCCTGAGGGAGGCTTTAGCTGATCTATCTTCATGGTGCAGCCTGGTGCAATGCTTGCAGGAAAACCCCAAAATGACAAAAACTGAAAGGACAATGACCTGACAAATGTCTGTATACATCCCTAAGGGGATAGTGTGATTAAAAAAAAAAGATATATTGACAATTCTGGAAAATCAGTAACTGCAGAGAGAATAAAAAGATCTCAACACTCTGCACCCACCACAAGCCCATTCCACGCCTAATGATATTCTGTGTACAAAAGGAAGATAAATCAAGGATTTTGTCCACTAATCAATATTTCCAAGATGATTTCTTAAGCATTAATCTGAGCTAATAAATCCACTAGATACACAGCACCACATATCACTAGAACATTCAAATATGCTGTCTGAGAAAAAGGGGGAACAGAAAAGCATTTAGCCTGAAGTAAAATCAGCCTATTAAGTTATTTGTAATATTCAGTGATGCAGGCAAAAAGTTCTTTGTCCACCAGAAACTTGTGCTGTCCCCACACATCCCTGGCTGTCCCCAAGCTCTGGGTGAAAACCTGTCTGCTGTCCTGGCTCATGTCAGAACACACAGGGCTGTGGAATCTTTGAGCTGCTGGTCTCAGAGATCAGTAAACACCTTGGCAAAACTCACAGACAGCCAGTTTCCAAGTGTTTTCATGCTTTGGAAAAGAGAACTTCAACATATCTTTACCTTAGGTTGCCCTGTTTGTTCATTTCTTGGCAGGGTTTTATTTGTTTTAGTTTTGATTTCTACATATTTAAATCCCTAGAATTGTATTTAATGAAGTAGTATATGGCTGCAGCAAGTTTTTATGGCATGTTAGGAAACTTCCTTACCCTCCTCTGCTGGTTAGCAAGTATGGAAAAAAACTTGATACAGAAAATGAAGAGCCAGTAATTTGGCTATCTGACTCTTTATTTAAATATATATATATGTGTTCTCCCTAAAAGCCCTTATAATTTTGTTATTTCCAAGTATATTTCTGTACCTGCAGGACTAGGCATGATGGGTGTTCCTGGTGGCCCTCCACCTCCTGGAGGACCCTGGGGAGAGTAAAAATTGTCAGTTAGCATGACTTAAAAGGTTAGAAAAAACCTAAAACAGACACACAAAAACAGCCACATCAAAGAACATTTATTGTTTAAAATTTTGGTGATTTCCATGTCACAAATGTGATCAAGACTAAGAAACATAAAATGCTCTGGCTATTAAACAAGAGTTTTAGGGTTCTTTAAGATTTCTCCAGGAATTTATTCAAATCACCCTAATCATTTACTAAGAACAGAAACATAACATCTTGCTTCCTCTGTTTGTTGAACCCCTTCAGGTAACATGAAAAACTACCAACGTCCACTTTGGCAAAAATGCCTACATCAATTAAAGTCAATAAATGTTGACTTTCTGTATTAAAACATACACAGACTGCTAGGAGTAATTATTATTTCCATACTTCATCTCTTTTGTTATCATTTAAAACAGCAGATATTCTGTTTTAGACAGGGATATCTTTTCAGTGGCAGTGATTACAAGGGTCTGGATGTATCTGTCTTACAGGATATCTGTCTATACATCTTTTACATATAAACTGTGATCCATTGATTTATATCCACATTTTATCCAAACCCATAGGACTCCCTAGGCATCACAGGCTCTCCATATACTTTTTATTCATATACCTGTGTACTAAGCTCACTTGATTTTCTAAGGACTCTCTCTGCACGTTTTTCAACATCACATAAAGAGATGTAGGAACAACTAACTAATAATTGATAAGAAAAGTTACTTGTCCTCATTAACTTGTGCATTTTATTTTAAATTTGCCTTTACTCTCGTTGGGTTTTTTCTTCTCTTAGACAGTTTCTTGGTATCAACTATTTTGACTCTGATAATATAATTTCATTAATGTATAACAAGTATATAATCTGCATATTTATACATATTACATATACTTATATATTAGTATATACGTTTTGACATCAGCACATATTAATATATATACATGAAACTTACTACATTCTTAAAGTGAATGATTTCAGATGACAAATCCTTTCACTAAAAAGCTTTTTGAGGAGCTCTCCAGCCCATCCCTCACCCCCAAACAGTTGCTGTCTATAAAGTCAAATATTCCCAAAATGCCTTTAAAATCTTCACCAATAGATTTTGGTAAACCCACAAAACCTCCTCCAAACAGAGAGATCTCTGTGAAGTTCTGCATTGAAAGAACAGATTTGGAGACATCAAATATTGACTGTGGCCACCAAGTTGTGAAAAAATGAGGCCTATAGTTACAAACACTTGCAGGAATCATAACTTTTCCCCCAATTAATTGTCTAAATAAATTGCTTTTAATTATACAATTCTCCCTTGTCACCCTGTGTCACCAGCCCCGTGCATGGGATAAAAACAGAATAAACAAACTGCCTTAGAAGAGCTCCTCAGCCACACAGATAACCTGAGTGCAACAACAACAACAAAGAGTCTAACATAATACTCAAAGTTAATGTCTAGTGACAGAGACAAAATCCAGCACTACACATTAACCCCTTTTCCCTGCAGAAGCTCACACACCCAGACAGCATGGTTTTCCTGGGAAAGCCAAGGGGCTTTTTCTCCTCCATTATTATGGACAATGGTGTGAGGTATGGAAATGTTTTCTGCAGTGAAGCGGCACTGAGGTCAATGTGGAGCAGGCTGAGCAGGGTCTGGTGATGAGCACCCACAACATCTGCACCACAGGGGGCTGGGGAACCTCGGTGCAGGCCAGATGTTGAGCCCCCAGCCAGCACAGGGGGCTGCCCTCAACATCTGGGCTGCTGTTTCCCTGCCCAGGTGAGACAGGGGTGTGATGTGATGTCCAACAAACCCACACAAAGGCACTCACCACGTAGTTCCCAGGAGAGGCTGAGGAGTAGGGTATCTGTAACATCAACAGAAAAAAACAGTGATTTTGGGTCCCTCTGCGCTGGGCTCCTGCAGCTGCAGGTGAGAGCTGAATCAATTAGAGTAACTAATTGAGAGTCACAGCTAAAATCATGGGGGAAGCACCCCTGCTGCCAAATTTCAGCGATTTCAAGATATTGACTATCAAAATAATAAGTTATTACAATGATAAGGTATAAGATTACTAAGGCAATGTAGTTTATAAGGTGTATGGACTCAGGCAGCACATACTTGCATTTCAGAGTCAGCCAAGCACAAACTGAATTTGTATGTTCTCAGAGATACTTAATTTTGAATACAACCTTCACCACAAAACAAATGAAGCTACCACATCTTTCACCTTAAAAGATACTAGTATTTATTTTCATGTCTTATTTATATTTTTAAGGACAGTGTCCTGGAGAAATCCTGTGATTAATCTGGTTTTCTTCCCTGTTACTGCCTTGGCTGTTATTCTCTCCAAAGGAACACAGGGCAATGCTGTTGTGGGAGCAGCAACTGCACTGACAAACACAAATTTCTCTACAGACAACAAATCATTGTTACAAACAAATCTATTACTGAATCTGCCAATTGATTTCAGAGACAGAAAAGACCTTAACTGTCAGCTGAAAAATGTCAATTTTAATTGAGTACATGCAAAAGAAAATTGAAGAACTTCTCTAATACAATTAAAAAGCCAGGAAGAACTGTTCAGCAGGGCAAGCCAGACCCACCTTATTCATCTACAAGTGCCAAAAATGGACACTGATATACGATCCCTGAATGAAGATTAAGGTTTTCTGCCTTCTGGAGAAATAGCAGACAGTGCTGTTCATGCAGGATCCCAGGACAACCTTTATTTTACAGATACTTCCCTAAATACAAGAGATGTCAAATATATTTGTAGTATTTACTTACAGAATTGGCATTGGTTGGGTTTGGCCAAGGTCTACCACCCCCAGGACCCCTGAAACAGAAGAAGAATGATGAGACACAGAACCATCTCCATCCTCTGACCAGCTCAGGGGCAAAAAAATCTGGATAACCTGTTTCCAGAGGAAGGAAATGTTTTTTTTTCAAACTAAAGTGTGTTTACAAGCTGTAACTACACCAAGGTAAAATCCAATATCAGAATTTTTGTTGTTGCACTGCTATTCAGTCATTTCATGAGTTGATTAATTTATTTACTACTCAGAAAATAAATTTAAGTCATAAAATAAATAAATGTTCAGTCATAAAAGCAGTAATCTTGCTCACATGATTAAGCACATGCCTGAAGTGCTGAGGACACATTCATTTACTGTGGATCTAGAATTCTGCCGTATAGTCAGGTTTCATTAGCAAAACTTGTGCAATTAGGTAATAAATGTTTTGGGAACACCTCATTTATAAAAGAACAAGCCATACAAAAGATGTTGCTATGATCCCTGTATGGTGATGAGGATGGTGATGATGATGACCATGATGATAACAGCATCAGCCATGGTAATAACTTTCATGTATTACACCCAGAAGCTCCTCAAAGAGTTTTTCTCACAACTGTTGCTGTTATTTTAAGTTTCTCACCCTCAGCTAAACTGAGAAAAATATTTTGGGGGCGAGGCTTCATCGCTTAACACTGCAGAGGGGACTGAGACACACCAGAGGTAAAATCTCCATCCTCACAATGTCCCAAATCCATAATTATTTCTGGGAGTACCAAGAGCTCCTGCTTGTTTACAAACTACACTGAATCACTTTTTGAAGGCCCTGACAACAGAGAGGCAGAGCAGATGACAAAACTTCCACATTTTCAGTGGCCTTTTGGCCTCATTAGCTGTAGAAAAGCAACATTAACCACTGCAGCTTGCCAGGCATGGGAGAGAGACTGAAACACTGAGAAAGAATCACCCTTTATTAATGAGTTCTGAAAGTTTTCTAAGTCTTGCAGAAATAAAAACCATTAAGTGCATACATTGCTTGAGGGATTTAGTATTGAATCTTATTTTTTTTTTATTACATTGTTGATGAAAATATAAAGGAACAATCTCAAAAAAAAAAAATCAACAAAAAATTTATGTATTTCCACTGTCTTTATTGTTGGAATGCTGGAAATCAAGAATGTTGGTATGGTCTTTTCTGCTTCATTCAAAGAAAGACTGATAGAGAAAATGCTCCTCAGGTCAAATATTCAGCAATTTCTCCTCTACTGATGATCACATAGTGAAATATTAACTTTGTATTTTGTCTTGCTGTTCTTTTTCTTATTTTTCATTGGATTATTGGATCCCCTCTTTCAGAAAAATCATGAATACTTGTAACAACACTTAAAAGTGTTTTCACCCCAAACACTTGCACTCATTTCTGTGACATGTACTGACTCAGAGACAAAGCTGGGTTAAGCCACAGGAATATGGAAACTCAGAAATTACACTGAGACATGGGAACTCACCTTTCATCTAAAAAGCTGCTGGAATTTTCAGATTTATTGGACAGCTTTCAGTACAGACTTAGAAATCACTGCAGCAGATTCTGCTGGAAAGCCACATGGATTTTGTGGAGCCAAATGCTTGTGAAACACATATAAAACTCCCCAAACTGCAATTTCATTAGTTTTTTCTTTAATTCCATGCAAGCAGGTCTTTTGTCTTTTACTAAGTGTTTATTTTGGAAGCACCAATACGGTCATGAAACATAACCATAAAAATACCAGTTCCAAAATACTTTACACAGTCTCTGTTGCTACAACTACTTTTTTTCTTTTTTTTTGGCTGCAATTTTTTAGAGTTTGTCCTGTAAGTGTCAATCCTGGCTTGAAAAAATAAAAGTCTGAAATTCCAGTTTCCCAAGAGACAAATATATTCCATCAGGAAATGAAACATCTAGACTCAAGTTTGTGAATTGAAGTTAAAAGACAAAATCACACCTTTTTCTTTTCTTTCTTTTTTTTAAATCTGAGGCATGACTGAGATATTCTTAGTGCTTGAGACAGCACTGCAGGTCACACAGGGTGTTAAAAATCACCAGTGAAATGTAACACTGCTCCCTGAAATCTGCCTTTTTCTTCCCAAAAAACTGGCACAGACATGAAATCTTCCTAAAAATGGCTATGCCAAGTTCCAAGTGGAAAACTTACAGCCTGAAATAAAGTTATTCTCTGGAAGAACATGGGTTGGGCATCAGCTGCGTCCACCAGAAATCTGATGGTGCTGTTGGTGGCACAGCAAGGATTTACCCAGCAGTGCTGCATCTGGGATTGCATGGGCTGAAATGCTGCTTTATGAGCCCTCAGGCTGCCTTTCTGACCACAAGGGACACTTTCCCACCCAGAAAAATGGTAATATTTTATGTGGCAGATAGTGTGCTCTTCACCAAAGCAGCTTCCCTTTGCTTTCCAAGGAGGAAAAGCTGGATTTTACACGGCAGCTGTTTCTGTGGAGCACACATTCCTGCACTTGGCACTGCCAAAAATCCCAGGAAAATGAGGAACAGAGCAGTGGGAAATTGTCATGTAAAGAAAACACTCATTAGGAAGGGACATCCTTATGTGCAGCTGAAATGTGATTTCCCCAGCTGACCCGCAGTGGGTGAAGGGTGAGGGGAGCTCATTTGGGTCCATCCTCACACTGAATTTCAAATGCCAGACCTGAGTCTGGAGACAATTTCAGAAACAACACTAAATTTACAGCAGGAAAGCACCCTCATGTCCAGAAAATACAACCCAAAGAATCCCAGCTCAGAGCAACCATTTGATAAAATGTGTTTATAAAAAGCAACAATATAAGCACCTTGGTCCTTCTTCTCTCTTTCTGGTAGGCCAGGAAAACTTTTTGTCATACAGAAAACTTTTTTCTTATTTTTTTCCTGCAGAATCTCTCATTTATGTGAATAAATAGTTTCAAAATATCTTATCTATCCCCCAATTTCACTCCTGGACAGTTAATTTCCATTTTTCCGTACAGTCTTCTGCTGAGGAAAACCTCTACAGTGCCTATACTTCACTCACACTGAATTTCAAATGCCTAAATATTTTTTCTGCATCAACTTAATTGAAAAGCATAAATGCCTACCCTCACGAAGGCTCCTGGAATTGTCTTAAATCCCCACATGTGATGTATATGATAGAGCAACACACAACTTCAGATTTTAATTTATTTACTTTAAGATTCCATGTATGTCTGGAAATCCAAACCCATTAGAGGTACGGTGGATTTTTCAAAATTATGTAATATATTTCTGTACCTCTTTGACTTCTTCAGGAGTGGGAACTTTTTACTTGAAATGAAAATTATAATTTCTTATTTACGTTTCCTACAAAAACTAGAGCAAAAATGGGTATGTATTACATAAATAAATGTTTACTGCTGCCTTAATGTGACATCTGAAGTACTTACACCATTTGAAATGGGGGGTGTCTTTAGGGATACAAGGTGCAACACTCTGCACGGCTACATTCACATTTAGAATAAATCTGAACCCAGATTACATCCATTTCTACCAGACAATTTTCCAGACCAGAAATACATAGAAAAACTGACAGAAATACATTCCTATCTGTAAAGCTCCTCTATCTGTTTAGACTGGAAATAAATGCATTTAAGGAAATAAGAACTGCAGTTGAGGAAGACTTTCAAATCAATAGTGTCTTTCTTTTTCTTATAAATAGTTCTGGACAAAGTATATTTTGCTACAATTAAGTACTGAACTATTTTGCAGAGAAAAAACATTCCTCACAAGATATTTAGTAAGCAGAAACATAAATAACGTCATTTTTAAAAATGCATAGGAGGATATATCAGTGATTCCATTAACAGAATATTCCCAGTATTTGAAGTTTGATCTGTGAAAAAATCTATTTGTACAGACTTGTTAGGACAGCCAAGGCTCCTGCTAGACTGTGGGTTCAGTTCTCAAAATTGCATTTATTGGCCACCAAAGCATGCTCTCCTTGCCTTGTCTGTCCCAACTGCTCCTTCTGCAATGCAACAGTGCATTTCCTAGGTACAGTAGGATTTGTGTTGTGCTTACATGTTCATCCCAGGCATCCCCGGGCCGCCTAAAGCGTTCAGGGGGGGTCTCATGGCACCTCCATAGTTCTGCAACGACAACCAAGGGTCAGACTACCACAAAACAAAAAAACAAAACCAAAGAGGAGGGGGAAAGAAAGGACAGCAGGTTAATGACATCCCTGCGCAACTGCTGCCAGGACAGGCCATGCCATTCATGCTTTCAGGATTCCCTGACTGCTGACTAAAAACTGGGATCATTACCCCCAAGGAGGAACAATACAAACATCAGAAATTGGCTAAGAATGGTTAACATGGTTTCAGGGGGAATTGTACTATTTACACATATTGAGCTCAAGTTAATGGCCAGCAAGGGTCAGGTTTTATAATGAATTCCACTTCTAAACCAAAGCAATTCAATATCAGCACCCCCTACTAAGATTCTGAGATATCAAATGCTATTATTTCTACCTAGATTTCATTACATTTCTATAACATTAAACCACATGATATAACTTTCTACTGTATCATTACATTTCTCTTTCCATGATTCAATTCTAACAAATCACAGAATCCCAGGATGACACCTTAAAGTCTATCCAGTGTCATCCCTGCCTGGGCAGAGACACTTTTCACTACCCCAGGTCTTTAAAAAGCAAAATGAAGAGTATTTAATATGGTAAATAATGTCCTAGCAATGCTAACAAATTACATTCCCAAAGCCCACAAAATGTGAGTTTATGTGCTGATATCATGACCACAGTTTGACTGCACTACTTACACAAAAATATAAATTACACCTATTTGTATTCAGTGGAATAGAAGCAGAACAATCTGTCTCGCCTGACAATCTCCCACCTGTAATTACTACTAATCCTGAGCAGATTTAGTCCTTTGCCCTAAATAACAGCACTGCCACCCATACAGGTGTCCTTTCAGTGCAGAGTATTTGGTGATCCAATTATGGAGTCATTTGTAAATATAAATTACACCTATTTGTATTCAGTGGAATAGAAGCAGAACAATCTGTCTCGCCTGACAATCTCCCACCTGTAATTACTACTAATCCTGAGCAGATTTAGTCCTTTGCCCTAAATAACAGCACTGCCACCCATACAGGTGTCCTTTCAGTGCAGTGATGCTCTCTGCAGAGTATTTGGTGATCCAATGATGGAGTCATTTGTGAACTTAAATTTTGTGTGCTTAAATTTTGTGCAGGTTAGGATGTTGAGCACAAAAAAAGAAGAGACATACAAAAACAGTGGATCCTAAATTACAGCAAAAATAGAAAAATTGTCCTCACAAAAAGTGGCATGAGATTTGCCTGCTGTGTGACTAATGGTGCTGCATAAAGGATCAGCTCAATCTCATATGGCAGCACAGCAGAGTTTCTACCTCCAAAAAATGGTAAATACGTTTCCAGGCTACATAAAAAAATAGCAAATATATTTCATTTTGTACTTGTAGATGCTTTGCTGGTCGCTCAGCAGAGATTGTGAAGAAGTGCACAGCTGGCTCGTAGCAGGAAGACCCAAAACTGTACAGACAGTTGTGAACAGACTTGGAAGGCAAAGCTATTCAATAATTCAGAATTCAGTTGTTATTCAAACAAGAAGCCACCAGGGAGATTATCTGAAACGGGGAAGCAAAAATGCACAGTGTGGGCACAACAAGCACACTGTGAAACAAAACACTGGCAGCACCAGTGAGGAACACCACCACCCACGTGCTGCTGACTCCAGGGCTGGAAAAACACAGAGGAGCCTCCTGGATTTGTGTTCCAGGGTGCAGCAGGACTGTCTGTCCCCTGCTTGTCCTTCTGGACACAGCCAGAGATGCTCAGGGTGCACATGGGGACAAATGGCAGCCTGGAGATGTCACTTTACACTAAAATCTCTGCTGTATGTGTCAAAATTTAGATCAACAGTGGATGAGAGAAAAAATTTGCAGAATTTGGAGAGATATTTTTTGCAAAGTTAGAGGGTATTAATATTTTCCTCCTAAACAGCATAATGAGTGAGGAGGAGGAGGAAACACCTACTCCACTCCTGGTCTGCCTTGCCAGTGTCAGTCTTTGATTACAGCAACTTTTCTAAAGAAAGCAAGTGAAGGGATTCTTCTTTTAATCCAAAATATTAATGAAAGTGACAGATTTTTCATTTCAATTTTGTACAGCTGCAATTTAGAACTTTTTTTTTTCTGTAAAACAGGAAGTTTACTTTAAAAAGAGATTATAAAAACAAGTCCTGGGAGTCTCCAAGCTAAGCAAAGACACAGAATATAGACTAAGTATAGGCCTGTCACTAAGGATAGCCCCTCTGTGGGAAATACCTGTGGTCCTAATGGCACCATTCCCCTTGGAGGAGTCATCCTCTGCATTGGCCCACCCATGTTTGGATGACCTGCAAACAAAATATAAAACACATTATATTTATATATGCAATACACAACTGATTTAATTATGCAAGGCACAATCACCTTGCACAGCTACTTTTAATGCATCATCTCTTTGTAATTAACAGGAAAGCCTGATGATCTGCAGGAGAAAGGTGCCAGTCTGTGAGGACAGCCACACTCACCCTGCTGCCGTGTGGGGTCCATCCCGCTGGGCAGGAGGGGCTGACTCCCTGGGACACCTCCGAGGGCCTGAGGGAGGGAAAACACAGCAAAAAACCACTGAGTGGTTGAAATTCATGTTAAAGACACAGCACACACGTTTCATTCCTAACTCCTGGATGTTTCCTCTGAGTCAGGAGTTAATGTGCTTTCAAATTCCCACATTAATCTGCCCTCTGGGTTTACTGAATTAGGTTTAAAGCTCATTTTTACAGGACTTTACCTGCAGCTGGGTCAAGTAGAAAAACACATTTATTAATGGATCTTTGTAGCTGATCCATGAGGTGCTATTTAGCATTTCAAAGCACCATCACATTTTCAGCAGAAATGTATCCTGAGTGAGCAGAATGTCAGAATGGTTTGGGTTGGAAGGGACCTTGAAGCTCATCTCCTTCCAACCCCTCTGCCATGGACAGGGACCCTTTCCACAACCCCAGGACCAAACTACCACCTAATCAAAATTTGGGCCTTAAATATGCACCACAACAGTTTACTGCTTCCATACCATCCCCTGAGTAATGTCAGTGCTGCTAAAGCAGCAATTAATGAACTTGTCATAAAGTGAATGCAGCAAGAGCTGCAGTTCACTGGGATTATGTGATTACCTTTCACCCTGGACTGAAAATACCCCAGTGTGCAGAAAAAAACATTTGTGAAACCAATCTGCAGGCTGGCAGCACCTCCAGCCACCACATCCCACCTGCCAGGATTCACTGAGCTCAGGCACAGAGGGTGTGAAACCCAAACCCTTGGCTCAGGGGCTCAGACACCTCTGGCTAAAATAGTATTGGGAATTGCAAAAATCAGGAGTGAACTGAGTTACAGCAGTAAATTGTTATCAGATATTAAGTGCAGTACTAATGGCACAGCACAGATGATCACTTCATCAAGGTTAATTAACTGCTTTTGTGAGGAAGTAGCCCTGGACAAGTCTTGCCACCTGGTACATCCAGCTCACTGACATTCAGATTTCCTAACTTCTGGTGACAGTGTGTCAAACGTAATGACAAATTTGTTGAAACTGAGCTACACAAATATAAAAAATAGCCAGAAATGAGGCTGGGGTATAGTGTGACAATAGAGAGGCAGCCCTTGAAACCAAAGTTGAACCACACTACCTGTTCCATTTATCCTTCCTACCTTTCCCAATACTGTAAATGACCTAGTTTTCCTCTCAGAGCTCCACTGATGTTTTTCTGTCTGCTTGTCTTTAACTTTTCATCTGCTGACAACTCTTTCTCCTCCTCTATCTGCACTGTGGAAACTTGAAAACACAAATGTTCTCTCCTTCCAGAACCCTCTTCTCACAGATGGGCCAGGAAAGGTCCCTGCTGACGAACAGCAGCTCATTACTCATCCTTGTCTCGCTGGCATTGCACATCCTTAGATGGAGATGAGAGAAAATTGGGAAATCAGTGCTTTTGGAAAGTTCTGAGTGTCTGGAGGAGCACTTCATGAGACCAACATTCCACATATTTACAGTGGAATAAATATAATTTGTGTGTCCAGCAGAGCATCAGGGATCAGCCTTACCTGGTTGGGTATTCTGAGAGGTGGCCTTGGGCCTCCAGGGTACCGGGGGGACATGAAAGGCTGCAGGAGAGAAAGAAGCACTGCTGAATAATCCCACTCACCCTGTAAATCCCACCCTGTACCACTGCCATGCTCACACCCATCTAGCCTGAGCCCTCCCACGGAGAGCTCTGGACATTGTCCCACAATGTTTATCAGTATTACAGAAATTCAGAGATTCTCAACCAACTCATCTATCAGGATAAATTATTTAACAATTTGTTTCAGCAATTTCAAGCGCAGAATATAAAAAACTTAAAGCGTTAATAGTGAAGAATAAACCATAATCAGACATCTGTACTTTTTACCGGAGAAGGGGGAAAATATAGGAATTTTGGAATAGAAAACAAAAGTGTTCTTTGGAGAATTCAGAGGTAAGGAAGATCAAAATAATTCACAAATACTTTTCACCCACTTCTTCATAGTGCAGTGAAAACCAACACAAAATTTAACCTGTGGAGGCACAGATTCCCAGTTCATGATGCAAACATTTAGAATTTTGCTGGTTTCAGTTGCCATGTCAATTCAGTGCTGCACTCCTGCCATCCCTCCCTGCTCACACACTGAATTTCCTCTCTCACACCTGAATTTACACCCAAATTTGGCACACCATCCACACCTTGAGAGGTTCTGCTGGCTTTTGGCTACCCCAGAGCTACCTCACAGCCCACAAATAATCGAGTGGCACTGGCAGCAAAAACAGTTAACTTCTCAGCTCAATCCACCCCAAAGTGTGGCAATAGCCTGGAAATATAAAACGATGAGTGGCAAATCTACAGGAAAAAGGCACAAATATCTGACTAAACAGAAGATGAAGAGGATGGCTTTGGCAAGCAGGAGTACCTACAGCTCCAGAAGAAAATGAAGAGATAAAAGTATGCTGTGTCTGAGCACAGGGACAAAAAGACTGATTTAGACTAGCAACAGCTAGCAGAGAAACTGCAATTATTTTACCAATAATTACTACTGGAACTTTTCCTATGATCTTACATCAATAAATTAATGAAACCTTTCACATCCTGGAATCAGATGAAAGCTGAAATAATGTAACCTACATAAACACACTCTCAAAGTAGTGCTAGAAAGCAATTTAAAGTACAGAGGGTTTACAAACTGGAGAAGAAAGTTCAATAACAATTGTGAATAGATGAATAAAAAGATACTTGAAATGATGTGCTGTAGAAGAGGGAGGCTCCTTTGTGCATTCTCTGATGGTGAGAACCTCTGATAAGAAAAAGAAAGGGCTGTGCATGCGACGAGGCCCTCATGAAACAGTAGAAGTGTCAGGAAATTAGAATTTCAACCATTTCCACAGAGGTCAATTGAGTGCAGCCACTCCAGTGAGGACCCTGGGTTTGACTTTTCTCTTCCAGCAAATGAAACCAACTTTATTTACAGTGTGCAGCTCAGAAAAAGGGACACCTGAATTGTGTCTGAATTCAGCCATGTTTAAAGAGCAGAACCAGCCTACTAACATGCAATAGTAATAAAAAACCTACTCCTTCCAAGTTTACAAGGATTATATACTGTAAATATTCATGTATCTATGTATTCCACTCACACCCAGGTAGAACTGCAACCAGTGACAAGCAGATTTCAAGTAGTTCCTATGGTTTGGTTTACCACAAAAATGTTACCATTGCAAACCTAAATATTCTCATTTTTGTGTCAGTGACTGAACCTCTCCCTCTCCACTACCAATATATTGCATATATTGTTTGTCCACAAAAAGGTTCCACCATGATGTTTCAGGACAACAAAGAAATGTCCAACATTTTGATGAAAATATATTAAATACTCTCAGCTTTTCGTGACATTGGAGTGGTTTTAAAGCCTCATACACATTACTGAGCACTGGATTCTGACAGACACAAACTCAAGCAGCAGAAACTTTGTGCCATGTGTTTATTCACCACTTCCCTTGAAATTTCCAGAACACCTGGCATTAGTCTCTGAACTCGTTTTACTTTCATTTCCTATTCTTTTTTTTTTATTAGGAGTTGCTGGAATGTCCATGAGGGAGGAACCACTCTGGGCTTCCACTTCTTACAGCAGGCATCCCTCTCTCCTCAATTCTTGGCAACTTCTTCTTCCCCTTCCCCTGCAGCACCAACACTCCTGAACTTACTGGGCTCAGAATACTGGGGCTAAATTAAAACCAGTGCCCACAGACCTTGAACTAGTCACTCAGATCTTGTTTCTGAAGGTGAAAATAAAAAGTTTGCATGCTGAAGACTTGGACATTTCTGCCTATTGTCTCAGCCTAACATTCAGCATTTTAAATGCACCTTAAATGGATGCTCACACTGAATTTTCAGGAAGACAGACTCTTTATTTGTCTTGGAGGTAAGCTTGAAAAATACTCAATAATGCAGCAGGCAACTTCAGCTGTGGGTTAGTCAGAAGACAGAGGGACTAAAATCAACCTCTCCAAAGGAGTTCAAGGACTGGCAGACACAATAAGGTGTTAGGAAAAGCAGAAGAAAACACTCCAAAACAAGTAAACAAGCAAACAAACAAACCAACAACAATAACAACAAACTAAACAAAAACCCCAAAAGACAAACAACCCTCCCAAAGAAACCAACAAACCCTCCAAAACCCCAAATAAAAACTCCCAACCAAACAAAAAAACCCAGCAAAACCCAAGCAACCGAACAAACAACACAAAACAAAACAAAGGACACATAAAAGACTAAACCCAATTAAAAAACGAACCTACACAAACAAAAACAAAACCTCCTGCAAAATCCCTCAGAATGAAAACTAAAACACAAGGCAAAGCCAAACAAGCAACCAACAAAAACAAAGGAGAAAACTCCCAAACTCATGACAAATCCCAACCAAACCCAAATAACCAAGCACAAACCAACCAACCAACCAACCAAAAAAATCCCAAAACAAAACAATAAAAAAACCCCCAAAAAATATAACCAAGCAAAAACCAACCAACCAACCAAAAAAAACCCCAAAACAAAACAATAAAAAACCCCAAAAACCCCCAAAAGTGAATAAAACAAAAAACAGGCAAGCAAGCCAGATCTAAGCCACTGCTGAGATGAAGATGCCACCAATATATGTTGACAGCAATACATTGTAATTCCTACCCACAGGTATAAATTCACTAATCTGACATCATAAAAAGTATCCTGAAGGCTGCCAATCCTGCAGTTGAGAGCAAAGGAAGAAGAACGTTCTACTACACTGGGTGAAAAAGAATCCAGAAAGGAAAAACCTTTTGTGTAGTCACCGTAGAACATTTACATTTACCAACTTACAGTGAAGTTTTAAAAACAAAAGCCCTAAAACCCAAAAGGAGGAAAGCACTGGAATACTAGAATAATAGAGATTACACAAAATAAAATCAGGATGTGAAATGTTAAGTTTAATAACCTTCCTGCTCTAATAGCAACATTTCATGTCGAATTGTTAAAAGTACTTTAAAGAAAGGCAAGTTCAGGCACTTGAATGATGGTGCCAGAAGTTGCAGCACTTTTTTGTTATCTGTCTGCTCAAGAATAATCCATCTGTGCACAGGGACAGCAAAGGGTATCTCATAACCAGTGTGTTTAATGCAGGTCTGAGAGTTGCGTGTGCTGGGCAACATCAAAACCTTCCAAAATCCTATTTGTCCTGGTTCTCAACACAACAGAAAACAAGTTTCTCAGTGGGAAAGTGTTTGAGAGGGCAATGTTGAAGCACAACGGCCTCACTGCCCACATTTTGGTGCCAGGAAAAGTGATTTTACAGAAAGTATCCAGAAGGACACTGATGCCATAAAGGCACAGAGGCTGAGATGTTTCTCTGCCAGTGTTGCAGTTCTTACTCTCTTTTTCAGTTGTTCATGAGACTCTAATAAAATATGGTGTGGAGACTCTAATAAAATATGATGTGGATCAGTTTTCACTTCCACCTCATAGTGGTGAAATAAGGAATTCAGACAGTGGTGTTCTACTAAGTATCACATACTTCAATAAATGTATTGTTTCCTTAATCTTACTTCCCTTCCAAAAGTTGGGAGTGTAAATCACTTCCTTCCAGATACAGGTTTCTTGCACTGACATTTTTATCCTGGTTTTTTTTCATACCTTTGCATTTATCAATCACATTTTGTCTCACATAAACGTGTAAAATTTACAATAATCCACAGCCCAGAGAAGTAATCCTGAATATTTAAATTCCTATTGAGACTTAATTGACCATAAATATATTGACCACAAATTAAAAATCACATGGTGAGACGCAGCTTCACACTTGGTGTGGAGAAGGACCAAAATAGCAATAATTGATTTTTATAACTCAGCCACCTACAGCACAAATGTAAACACCACTTATCCTAGCAGCTGAAAATGGAACCACAGATCTTATTTGTACACACTACAAGTGATCTTAAATTAATTGTGCTGCTACTTGAGGTGCAAGTACTGGAAAACAGTTCAAGCTGCAAGAGACAAGGTCGCGTTTTCTCTGGTAATTCTGAAAATGACCCAATCTTTCCATCCATTTCAAAGTTCTAAATGATCACAAGTGAAACAAACCAAAAATCTTCGTTCTCCTCTCTGTTTAAAAATCAGTTGCCAAGTTACACATTCTGTGTAAAATACAATTAATCTTCACCTTTTTAGTTTTTGAATTCTAGTCTGGGCTAAAGGTTTGGCATCACTTATTGTTATGATTATTAGTATTAGTATCCAAATGATAACAAATAAGACTGCTGGCCATTTCAATTTCATTTTGCTATAAGGATAAATAATATGTTATCTCTTTAAGACTCCAGTGTTTTAGGAAATGCTCTGGAGGTGTTTTACACCTACATCTCCCATTCCCAAACCAAAGGGGGTTTGCCCTCTTAGGAAGACCATTGGCAACCATTAAATATCTGTGAATTTAATTTACACAAGTCACCCTGCAAGTAATTTTTCATTTCATTGCTTTTGATTTTTTAGTTTCCTCTGTGATTTTTTTGGTGGCATCTCCCTCAGCAGTAACAATCACTCAAGTTTCAGTACACTCTTTATTAA